TACTATATTTTTTTGGTTTTTTTATAGTGCAAATACTTGTAATCAAAAATAAATATAAAGTGAGCACTGTACACTTTGTATTTTGTGTTGTAATTGAAACCAATGTATTTGAAAATGTAGAAAACACCCAAAAATATTTAAATAAATGGTATTCTATTATTAACAGTGCGATTAATCACGATTCATTTTTTTAATTGCGCAATGAATCATGATTAATATTTTTAATCGCTTGACAGCCCTAATTATTTCATATTCCAATGACACTATTTAAAGAAAGAAAAAGGGGGGGTATAGCCTAGGTTGGATTCAACTGAAGTTTGACGAGAGTCTGGTTTGCACTTACTTCAGAGTCTCAATCTTTCGTAGCCTAGTAGATCTTGGAACCGCTCTTTCCAAAAGAAGCTCTGTAGTAACTTTTGACATTTTTAATTTCTGCCTCTTTCCTGGAAACACAGGGCCGTCAGCAGTAGACTGTCTTCTTGGCACCTTCCTGGTGAAAGAAACAGGAATTAGGGGGAATCCTTTAAAACTGTGTCCCAGCAAGAGAAAGAAAAAAAGTTATGGTGCAACTACCCCTTGTTGATAAAGCTGAAATCATTGGGTAATATTAGCAACGCAGCCTTGCAAAACAATCAAATCCCACTTCACCTGCCCTGACTGCAATGATGATAATAAAAACACTAGTGATACTTTGCTCCCCCATTAAAAGAAGTTACTCCTTACAGGTGAGTTGTAGCCTAGATTGTAAGCTGGTGCAGGGACCACATTTTAGTTCTGTTTGTACAGCACCTAGCACAACAGGGCTTAGTCCATGACTAGGGCTCTTGGGCGCTACCGCAATGCAAATAATTAATAGTCTGCCTACTGCAAGGTTTCTTCCTCTGAAGCAAGTGTTCCTGGCCACTGGATAGGATACTGGGACCACTAGCTGGATCCAGTCTGGCAAGTCCCAGAATTGTGCAAAGCTGGACTAACTGGCTGATTCCCCTATCCAAAGGGAGAGAAGGTACAAATGATAATGTCCATCACCTTTGATGGGCACTAATTTCTCACAGGGGAAAGAAATGCTAATAGCAATATTGTAGGTTATTGCTGTGGAAAGGGGAAACGACACATATTCAACAATACTGTGTACAGAGCCAGAACAGCCTTATGGAACTGCTGTTGGGGGTACTGGGCCTTGGGTTCGCTTTCTTTCCAGCCCTCGTTCTAAAGGAAGGGAGTACAAAAGAGCTATTAGGCCATGATCATGACCTGCCGTCTAGTCCCATTGTTGAAACCGAGATTAGGCTGCAAGTCGATGAGAGTATGTGGAGTTATGAGCCATGGCACCATGTTAGAAACTGTGCTGATGTCTCAGACACAGCTGTGTCACACTGTCATGGGCCACATTATGGGTCACACCGGGGCCATATCATGGACCATCTCAGGGGCTCTGTCCACTGAGTTACAGATCACATTATAGTGACTGCATTACAGGTTTTGCTATTACGTTACAGGCCACGTCATTGTCATGTTTCACACAGCCACGTTCTGGACTAGCACTCACTCAGGGACACATCCTTGGCCTGTTCTGGCTCAAATATGCCAACACTATGTTATGACAAATCACCATGTTCTAGGCTAGTTATGTATCAGGGCTGCGTCACTGTGTATTGGGCTGCACTGCTGTGTTCGAAGTTGCTTCTGGATCAGAACAGCGATAAGGACTGCATCACCAAATTCTCCTCCAGTCCTGGCTCAGCATCACATCACCGTTATGGATTAGGTCACTATACTAGGACAGCATCGCCGTATCCACATTGTCACGTTCTGGCTCAAGGTTCTGTTGCCACATTATGGGCCATGTGGCTATGACCACGTCACAGTATTCTGGTCCAGTTCCGGCTTAGGGTTGCTTTGCCGGCTGTGACTGTCGCCGTGTCCTGGTGCGGTTCTGGCTCAGGGCTGTATTGCGTTGGTATGTTACAGGCCACATCTGAGTGGCTGTCACTGTGTTTTGGCTCAGGGTTGCATTGCCATTTTACAGGTTCCTGTGGAGCTGTTACTGCATCACCATGTTCTGGTCCAGCTCGGTCTCAAAACTGTGTTGCCACATTATGGGTTCCCTAGCTATGGCTGCCTCACCATGTTCTGGTGCAGTTCCAACACGGGATTGTGTTGCCATGTTATGGGTTGCTCGGCTGTGATCATGTAACTTTGTTCTGGTCCAGTTCCAACAAAGGTTTGTGTTGCCATGTTGTTGATCATGTGGCTGTGACCGAGTTGGGGTGTTCCGGTTCAGTTCTAGCACAGGGGTGCGTTGCCGTGCTATGGGTTGCATGGCTGTGACCAGGTCGCCGTGTTTCAACCCCATTCCAGCATGGGGGTTGCGTGGCTGTGACTGGGTTGCTATGTTCCAATCCAGTTCTGGATCCAGATTGCGTTGCCATATTAAGGTTCACGTGGTTGTGTCTGAGTCACCGTTTCGATCCAGTTCTGGCATGGGGTTGTGTTGCCATGTCACGCGGCTGTGACCGGGTCGCCATGGTCGGGGCTGGTCCAGTTCCAGCGTGAGGTTGTGCTATTATGTTATGGGTCGGGTGGCTGTGACCAAGTCACCCTTTCCCAGTTCAGTCCCAGCTCAGGATTACATTGCCGTGTTTTGTCATGTTGCTGTGTCCTGGTCCAGTTCCAGCGAGACGTGGCATTGCCATGCTCTGGGCCATATGGCTGTGTCTGAATCGGCATGTTCTGGTCCTGTTCCGGTGCTGTGTTCTGAGACACAGGGCTGCGTCCCGGTCCAGTTGCAGAGCGGGGCACGTTACCATGTTATGTGTTAACATGGCTGTGACTATGTTGTGTTCTGGTCCAGTCCAGTTCTGGGGTGGGTCTGGGGGTGCAGAGCCTCCCCGGGCACGTCCCCACATATCAGCTCAGTCCTGACTCTCAACCCGGCCCGAAGTATGGAGGGCGGCCAGACCCCCCATGCTCTAGGCCGGCCCAGGCTCGCAGCCCTGCCTGCAATGGGGGGGAGGGAAGACCTCCATGCCCCAGGCTCGGGGCCAGGACTGTGATGTTGGGGGATGGGGTCAAAAACACCCCATGTCTCATGCCAACCCTGCCTGCGCGTTGGGGGGCAGAGCCTCCATGTCCCGGGCCGGCCCTGGCTCGGGCCCTGCCTGCGGCGTTGGGGGGAGGGAGCCCCCGTGTCCCAGGCCGGCCCGGCCCGAGTTGGGGTCGGCAGAGCCGGGAGCTGGACCCTGTCCCCAGGGGCAGGGACGGGAGTAGGTGCCGAGGAGCGGCTAAGGCCGGAAATAGGGGGAACTACAACTCCCAGCATGCCCCGGGGTCGAGCTTGGCCCTCTAGCTTGGCCGGGCGTCCCGCAGACTGCTGGGAAAGCGAGTTCCGCGTAGGGGCGGCCGGATCGGCTCTGGGCCTGCCGGAGCCTGGCTGGGGAGCCCGGGTGTCCCTCCCCCCGCCGCGGGTCCCCTCCCCTAATCCCCCCCCGCCGCTCACTCACCTGCCGCCGGGGCCGCGGGCGGGCCGCGCTGGGCCCTGCCGCCGCGGGGGAGCCGGAGCGCGGAGCCGGCTGGCGGCGAGCTGGGCC